GCGGCGCCCTCCACGGCGCGCGGTCCGTGTCCGACTTCACGACGTCGGAGCTGAAGCGGCTGCTGAGCGAGCGCGGCATCGACTTCCGCGACTGCTTGGAGAAGCGCGAGCTCGTGGAAAGGCTCCAGGACGCGCTCCGGGGCGGCGACGGCCTGAGCGGCGGCGCCGCGAGCGCCATGGGCCAGCTCGACGCGGGCGAGCGGTCCGTCGTCGAGCTCTTCCAGCGCGTCGCGCCGTCCGTGGCGTTCATCCAGACGTCCGTCGTCAAGTCGACGTCGCCGCTGTCGATGCGCGGCGAGGTCACGCCGAGCGGCTCCGGGTCGGGCTTCGTCTGGGACACGGAGGGCCACGTCGTCACGAACTACCACGTCATCCAGCAGGCCCAGAAGGCGACGGTGACGGGTCTGGGGACGGGCGACGCGGCGTCGATGGCCGCCTACGACGCGACCTTGGTCGGCGCGGAGCCGGAGAAGGACATCGCCGTGCTCAAGGTGCGCGCGCCGGCGTCCGTCCTCGAGCCCATCGAGGTCGGCAGTTCGAGCGAGCTGCTCGTGGGCCAGTCGGTCCTCGCGATCGGCAACCCCTTCGGCCTGGACCACACGCTGACCAAGGGCATCGTCTCCGCGGTGGGCCGCGAGGTCCAGGGCGTCGCGGGGCGGCCCATCAAGGGCTGCGTCCAGACCGACGCGGCCATCAACCCGGGCAACTCCGGCGGGCCGCTCCTGGACGCGAAGGGCCGCCTGATCGGCGTCAACACGGCCATCTACTCGCCGTCGGGCGCGTCCGCGGGCATCGGCTTCGCCATCCCCGTCGACTCCGTGCGCCGCATCGTCAACCAGCTCATCCGCTACGGCCGCATGCTCCGGCCGTCCATGGGCATCTCCGTCGCGGACGACCAGATGACGCGCGGCCTCGCGATGCGCCTCGGCGCGCCCCTCGACGGCGTCTTGGTCATGGAGGCGCCGCCGAACTCGCCGGGCGCCGACGCGGGCCTCGTCGGCTGCATGCGCAAGAACGGCCAGCTCTATTTGGGCGACCTCATCACGCGCGTCAACGGCACGCCCGTCAAGACCGTCGAGGACCTCCTCACGCTCGTCGAGGAGACGGAGATCGGCTCCTCCGTCGTCCTCACGGTCCACCGCAGCGCCGACGCGAAGAACGAGGAGACCCTCACGGTCAAGACCGTCGACCGCAGCCAGCTCGCGCGCTCCTAGGCCGCCGGCGCAGCTGAGAGGCGTAACTTAGGGACTCCAGGGGACGGGGTGGGGATCTTCAGGCGCCGCCCCACTTCCAGAGGTAGGTCGTGAGGACGGTCTTGATGTCGAGCGGAAGCTTCTCCTGGACGCACTTGGTGAGAATGGCGACGTGGATGTAGCGCTGCTGGAAGCGCGCGTACTCGTCGAAGCTGCCGGCCTTCTTGATGGCATCCATGAGAAAGCGAGTGGAATCATTCATTCCGTTCGAATCCACAAAATACGGGAAGTGCAGCTCTTGATGGAAGAAGCCGACGCGATACGGCTGAGGGGCCCCCGCCTGCGCGGCCGATCGGCGATCGGCGAGAAAGGCGTCAAGATCATCACTGGTGAAATCGAAGGGGTTTTTGTACTCGCCGTCGATGCTCACGACCCGGACATTGCCTTTGAACTTCAAATTGTAGTCATCGAAAAGAGGGCTGTATAGATCTAAACTGAGCAGCGTCCCAAAGCACGAAAACGGCTGAGGGTCCTCGTCACCCGTGAAGGTGAGCTCGAAGCGATCCGTGGTTTTGATCAAGGCCCCGGCTCGTAGGAGCGTGAGGACGGTGCGCCGCCGCCCCCTGAAGACAGGCCAATACAGCGCACTAAATTCACCCTTGACATCCCTCGATTGCTTCCCGATTTTAAATGACGCGTCGACGTCGGCGCCCGATTTGATGAGAGCGACGACGACTGGAAGTAGCCGACGCTCCACCGCGTCACGCGCCTCGTCCAGCCCGAGGAAAGGGAGATCGACTTTTTCATACAACTCCCTTGGCATTGTCTTGTCAAGCGCTAGCGTCAGCGGCGTGTGGTCTGCGCGG